TCATATACCTACTAACCTAATCAAAATCCATAGGAGGAGGTAAACAAAAACAGAAATAACTAAATTAATTATATATTTAATAAACGTAATTGCATTATCCCCGACGATATATCATACCCATTAACGCGGACGCGTTACGGACAAGATTTTTCATAGAAATAGCACTGAGCGTTCGTCTGAGCCACAGGCTGTGGGAGTGACCCGTCCTCGCTACGTGTGTCGCTCGCCTCTCGCGCATACTCAACTGGATTCGGCTTCTCCCCGCTAGATATGGGAATTTCATAAATGTTTAGCGGGCAAATCTTAGGTTTGAGTAAGAAGTAAATGTGGGGACTTCTAGAGTCGCTAAATATTTGTTTCTCACTTTTAGTCAAACTATTTTTTTAAATATAAAAATCGTGACCTGTCAATCAGTTAAAAATAAATATTATATTCATAACGTAGAATTCGAGGAAATGGACGATTTGTAGCCACACTAATGGTCACGACTGGGGGCCGCATCGTGCCACTACGGTTCGCGTTTATTGGCCACCACTAGTGGCCCGGTGGACAGGAGCACTAAGACTAATGCTAAACAGACAGATTTAAACTGTGTTTATTAAACATCTTTAAGAAATAGTCAATGTGCAATATTACCTAGAAACTATAAGTATTCAAGATATCGCACACATTCGCGGTCATGGGTCAAATACTATCAAGGAAAATGTTGGAAATGAAACTATTTTTCCGGATTTAAATCGCGTATATTTGTTTTTTCAAACAAACCGACGTTTCGGGCCCTTTACAGGTCCCATGGTCACGGTTGACTGAGGTGGTACTAATTAATATGTATAAGAAGTACTAATTAATATGTTTTAGTTTATTCTAATTTCTATTAATAATTAATAATAAATGAAACCTAATAAAAATTCATTCAATAAAATAATTTGTAAAACTTAATGTAGCGTAAATTGGAATGTTTTCTTTGTAAAATTAAAAATAAGGTATTTAATTAATAACTATTGTAACTATAGTGAAAAAATAGGGTGGTTTGCATTAATATTAGACATAACTGGTTGAAGACTGTACCACCTCAGTCAACCGTGACCATGGGACCTGTAAAGGGCCCGAAACGTCGGTTTGTTTGAAAAAACAAATATACGCGATTTAAATCCGGAAAAATAGTTTCATTTCCTATGTGTAACAATCGCGAAAACCTAAGAACTCGATAAGGAAAATGTTAATATTATCTACAAAGCTCACTGTAATGGGCATTTTGTAGTTCTTTCAAAAGATGCTAAATTAATATTTTTTTGCCAAATCCTAAATCTTAATGTTAAGATTTTCTTTCAAATGATGATTGCTAGAACAACTTATAGTATCATATTTTGTTTTGTCCGGTATCAGTTTGACAAGAATAACCAAACAGAAATTTCATATACAGATGGAATGTGAAACGATTCCCTAAGATTTGATGAAGCTGCCATGTGTGAGCAATTTAGACAAGTTGGCGGATGCAACATCTTGACTTTCCTCTATCAAGTGAAGCCAAAATGCTATATAGATTGGTTGAGAGACGCTTGAAGTTAAGGCATCGATAACCTGCTTCAATTCTCTTTCTACTTTATTATATAATTATATCTATAGAGCGACGTACTCGCATTTTGTGACAAAGCTCTTAAAATAAAGAAAAAAAAAACAAACAGGAATTTCGATTTAATGACGTTATCGATACGCTTCGCACCTTTACATCACTTTTGTGCATGTAATTAATGTATGTATTTGTTTTTCTGCTTAGGTACTGTAATAAATCACATTAAGTGTGATGTTGTCGTTGAAGAAATAAATGAAAAAAATTGTATCTTCCATCAGATTCTAATCAAGGCGTGACGACTTTATATTGTCTTATCTTCAATTTAACATCAGAACATCCGTCTCCACGACTTTGATTATATATTCCCAAAGTAGTCTGTATCGAGCCCCATTAGGGCTAGCAGAACAGTCAGTTTTCTAACATTCTGGTCTGGGTATTCTGGGAAGTGACCCAAGGTTCCGTTGCTATGATACTAATAGTACCCCTGTACTTCCTTAGTTTGTCTGGCACATATTATTATTATTTACAAAAAGTTTAAGGTCTTCGACTCTTTGTTGTCCGCATTTTTCACACAAGGTTTATGATATTCTTTGATTGTGTTTATTACGTACAACACATACAAAAAAAGATCACAAGACGATTACGTTGGAATCTGCAAAAGAAGACCTTATCGTTTGCAAACTGAGTCATTTTTCTATTTTTAAAACCAGCACCTAGACAGTATTGAAAATAACGTCAAACGATTTCTTTCTCATCGAATATTTCAATTCCTATATACAGATTACGGAATCATGCTGTCTTCCTCCTTCTAAGTTTAGGACGGGTAGAAGTTATCTATTGCACAATTTAATCAACCTTGTCTAATCGTAACCACAGCGATATGGGATTATTTTGTGTGGGTACACTCAATCATTATTTAGTGTTTTTAAGTATATTAATTTTACTGTAGAGGACAGAGGTACGTACTAGCGCAAGATCTTATTGGATGGCACAATCAACGGGAGGCCTATACCTTTTTGATGACTCGATATTCCAACCATTTGCCCTGTAGACTTTGGATGTTGAATTAATATGATTTCCGGCAAAAATTTTTCTCAAAAATCTGCGAAAGGCTGCTGGCAGCAGATGGATGCGACAAGCTGAGGATCGGGCGAAATGGCGCGCATTGATGGAGGCCTATGTCTAGCAGTGGACTGCGATAGGCTGATTATGATGATGATGATTATACGTTTATCTTATAACTTGTCTAGGCTAGCTGACGCAGTAGCTAGTATTACAAAATTTTCTTGCTTTTGAATTTCCAATAGCAGGCTCATTGAATTCTGTTTTATGGTTTTTGAGATTAGATATGAGTTCATAGAGCGCAATTGCTATTATTCTACGATACGATGACTATAAAATAGATAATAAATAGAAAAGTCTTTATTTATCCACAAAAACATAAACCACAACATAAGCGAACAATTAAACAAAAAACAGTAATGTAGATAAAAAGGAAGACACACCTTTGCTGTAGGGCTAGCACGATAAGGCGCGACTTGAGCGCAAGCGACATAAAATGCGAGATACTGCTATTGTCGCATAGAAATCACGCGCTCTATGTCGCTCTCGCGTAAGTCACTCCCACTTGTGCTAGCGCTAATTATTTTCAGTCTTCACCTATAGCTATTCGTATGCCTTCATCAGATCGCCAAGCGGAGTGTATACTAAACACCAAGTAATTATACAGAGGCTGTCCGTGTTGCACTTTATGTAAAAGATATGAAAATTGTAATTTAAAATATTCTAAATTTTATTTATTTAGTGTTGCTTTGGGGTTTTAACCACGGTCCAATTATATGTATGACTATGACTTTTGTTCTGCGTGCTTGATTTCATTTTTTTTTATAGTATCAAGTGACGGAACGAACAAGTCGTGTACCTGGTAGTAAGCTATACGCCTGTCCATAACAGTCATATGTAACAGGCCACTTAAATCACAACGATCTGAGGGGCACTGTCACTGCGCCCGTCACCTTGAGACATAAGTTGACAAGTCCCATGTGTCTGTAATTTCACCAGCACCCTTACCCTTCAAGACCGGAACTCAGTAATGCTCACATTATTGCTTGGCGGCAGAAATATGTAAGGTGGGAGTACTTCCCTGGACGAACTCTTTCACAAGGAGCTCTACTGCTACGAAGAATCTTTGTTATATAAATTACGTTATTAGGTTTATGTAACCTTTTTTAAATGTATAATAATAATAAAAAATACGTGCTGTGTGATTACGTGACAGGGGAAGAATACTGTGAGCCGTGAACGATATCGTTTGAGAGAGGACTTCGCGTCGTAGTGAGAAAAGTAGGGAAGGGTATGTTAAGGTGGTTTGGCCACATGGAGCGGATGAATGAAAGTAGATTGACGAAGGAAATATGTAGAGCTAACGGGAATGCCGTGGTAGCTTAACCGTTTGACCTACAGCCAGCTACCGCTTTTCAAGCAACAGCCGTGGATGAATTAGTCCAGCTTTTTGGGAGTTACGATGCCAGCTATGATACGATTTGTGACTCCCCGCTTTTTGCGTCGAAGATTTATAAAACAGAGACTCATAATGAAATATCTCATCGTTGTCCAGACATCATTACATTATAGCATTAGCGTCATCTTTTCTAACAAAATTTCGAATTTTGAAGAGAAACTAATAATAATAAAGAAACATGTGTACATTTATGTAATATACATATCGCACTGCTATTACAATAGTGTTGTAACTCAAAATATGTGAAATTCCAGATTATATTATTATTGCTGAACGAAAAATTAGATTCTTTACACGTCAATAACACCGTCGTTAAAATATTGTAAGAAACAATTAAAACAAATTTATTAAACTCAAAATGAGACAAATTTTTTGCGAACTAGTTCCCGATAAAACAGTCTTAATAAATAAGTTTCTAAAGAAAATATTAAGTTATTTTTCGTTTTATTTGGCAAGTAGGGAATTGTTTAGATGTATGTAATAAATAAATTTTAAATAATATTTCGCTGGAAGTGAGTAATTCGTTTTTCATCGATTCTGAAAAAATACACTTTTTGAGTTAATACACTATTGTATTAGCAGTGCGATATAAGTACAGTAATTTTTGTTGGTTTTTAATTGTTGTTTTAGTTTTTATTGAAGACTGGTCTAGTCTGGTAAGCTGTACCTAATACAGATCAGTTGCTTAGTATGGAGTCTCGTTTCTCACCAAGGTTACAACATTTAACATTCTCAGTTTTTGTCCTTTTGTGTGAAGGCATAGGTAATTTGTTATTCAGTCGAACACGGGCTAAGCTTTGCTGGTGATTTTTTTCGTACAACAGGCACGTCGGCGGTTTAGTGAAGGTGTGTGTTCCACTCTGTACATAATAAGACTTTATTAACTGTTTATTTCGATTGTTACAGCGGGAGCGGCGACATTGCGGGTACTGCTAAGCTTTGCAGTGGGCGGTCTGTTAGGAGACGTCTTCTTGCATCTGTTGCCTGAGGCCTGGTCTCACGATCTCGCCGCCACTAAAGGTAAGTTACCAATACCATAGTATAATAAGATAAGTAGTGTATCTCTATACAAACATGGCAGCGCGGTTATTATGTGCGCACACCCGCCGCTCTCCGTGTACGGATGCACACATTCGCATAATCTCGCCGTGCACCTGAGTTGCACGGATCGCACGCGCCATTCATTATACCTAACAAATTGAAGTGTTCGCTGGGTGTTTAGAAATTACATCAAATAGTAGACGTGTTTATTGTAGTGTGTTTAAGGTAATTAGTAGTGCTGCCACTTTACCTATTTCTGCCGCCAAGCAGTAACGTCAACATTACTGTGTTTTGGTTTTGAAGGGTAAGGGTGCTGGTGAAATTACAGGCACATGGGACTTGTCAATTTATGTCTCTTTGCGATTTAAAGCTATGAGTGGCACTGGAACTGCTATGGTTAGGCGTGTCGCTTAACACCAGGCGTACGACTTGTTCGTCCTGTTACTTGGTATAATAAAAAAATCTGAACAAGCGTGTCTCAAATTCAGAATTGTTTAGCATTTAATTTCTATTTCATAATCATACCTCATAATCAAGACACGAATTCGGGATGCTGATATAAAAATGGCACTACGTAAGTCCAGACGCTTACCATCATCAGGCGCACGATTTGTTCGTCCCGTCACTTAAAATTATAAAAAAACACTTAATAAAGGTTAACAAAAACTTAATAAAGGTTATTTCAATATGGCACAAGAATACTGTGAAGAACACCTTAATTTTTTCAAATTATGTTGCAACTGTAGGTGCATTTTTCATTTTCAAAGACAAAAGCCTTCTTTCCCTTTCTCCACTCATCGCGCTTTAACGCCGCTACAAGCCAAGATCTCATGTAAACTCGTCACGCCATCTCCTCTAAATAATATCACAACCCTACGTTCCGCGCAAACTAGTTGTTGTAGGGCGGTTGTTGCCCTACTTACTCTTATTATACTATGCTTCGACTCCATAAGAGAGTCGATGCCAATTAGTGTCTGGACAACGATGTCTTAGGACAGAGTTGTTTTCTTGCTACCACATTGTAAGTTGATTATGTCGAGATACGCATTCAGTCGCGCCTAGAAACCAATGACGTGTGAAATCTACTTTTTAGTTATTGGTGCGATATCTATAGAGCCGCCTATGTTTTAAAACGCCCAATTGCATCTCTGAGCGATATAAAGATGAATCTTGATATCCGTATCCGCATTAAAAGTACTGTTTCTCGACTATTGGCTCCGCCCCGGTAGAAGAAGATATGCTTCGACATTTGCTATTTATTATAAATGTGACTGATGAGGAGTCTTGGAATCTCCCTTTTTTATGATATCAAGTGATGGGACGAACAAGTCGTGTTCCTGGTGGTAAGCGGCACGCCTGTCCAGAACAATTGCAGAGCCATTCACAGCTTTAAATCACATAGATCTAAAAGCATTACTGCTTTACTCACATTACTGGTTGGTGGCGGAACTATTTCTGGTAAAATTACCTATGGTAAAGTGGCAGTACTTCCCTGGACGAACTCTTTCTTCTACTAAAATTACATTCTTTCGCTCATTCTTAAAAATACTTCCCAAAAACATTTTGAAGAATCAACTTGTCAAGTCAAAATAAAAAAGTTAGTAAATTACACTAACAAAAAACAAAATATCAAGGTTGACCAAACAATGAAAAAAAACCGCTTTTGGGACAAAAGGACTAAAGAAGGTCTACTTGTGTTTGACCTTCGAGTAATAAACAGCAAACTGTTTAATACAGGAATATTCAAATAAGGTCATAAGTTGATGATATGCTGGTGAATAGATTAAAAGTAAAAACCGGTCAACCAGAATCTGTAAACAAACACTTTAAATAATTTTGTAGACGGGCACACAAAGTAAATACTATCATTACATTGCTTGACCTATAAAATCATTGTGATATTCTGTATATGAACCATCAATTAATCGAGGCACTTGGGGGCAGGGCCATTTATTTATCTTTCGACGAGTGAAGTCAATATCCTTATTAACATAGTTTATTGGCTTTGTTATAAAGAAAAACTGATAAAAAACAAATTCAGTGCGGAAGCAAAAAATAAATAAATAGGACTGTAGAATTTAGAACCTCCTCTTTCTAAAGCCTGTCAATGGCCGCTGGCTCAAAAAAAAGAATAAAGATGTTTAAAGAATTCTAAATGAAAGCCATTTCAATTCAGGTATTTCAATATTAACAAAAAAAATCAAATAGGACTTCCGTATCCATTATACCAGCCTACAATGCAAGCGTCTACGAAAAAGCAAACGGCCAAATGCTCCTTGTACACTTGTATTGTTAATTGTACACCTACTTCATTTTCCTTAAACTTGCCGTCTGTCTAATACAAAGTCATATTTTACAAATCAACAATCATACAAGGCTCCTTTACATATATTATTTTAAAATTTTCCTACGGTAAATAAACTTTGTTATACCAGCTGTTTACAACAAACTTGCAAAAACAATTAAAATAATACTAACTCCTAGTGCAATGCTTAGTGTGTGACAGTTTGCGACGGAAAATATAAATTGGTATGGTATAATTATCTTATGACGTAGAGGTTTTGCGTTCCCACTCAGTAGCAGTGATTCATGATGTTATAATTCATACGAGGTTTTGCGTTCCAAGCGCGTGCACGCTTAAGTATTAAAAATGTAAATAAATGGATATTATTGTCGTATCAGGCAGTTTATTTGATTATATTAAATAAATAAATTACACGCAAGGTATTTATGCACTTATGGCTTTGGTATATAGTGACGAATTTTGGACACTGTTTGATGACGATATATCGGTCTCTGCAGTTTATAAATGATACCGATTAAAACAAAATCACCAAAAAAATATGTTATGCGTTTTGGATGTTGCTTTTCTTCTGATGCGATTTGACGAGACGAAAGATGTGTGCCTGGATCTAGCAAGTGGAAGGCCGTCGTCTCTGCTTACATCGATGGAAAAAGGACGTGAATTGTAATGGATTTTTTTTTCGGATTTGACATAGCGTACGTACTTGTTGTTTCAAATAAACAAACATTTCGAACGCTCTATTATATTTTTCCATGGCTGCTTTTTTGAAAATATAAAAACATATACGCGATTTTAGGTCCGAAAAAAATATTTCCAATGTATAGCAAGCGCGAAAACCTAAGAATGTCTGTTTTCTTCTGATCATTTTTCAGAAATTTATAATCATTTATGTCTACTATGACCATAGATATAGAAAAAAAGGGGAGATATGATATGGTAGTTCGCGTATGGGGGCGTGATATGGTCAAAATGACCATATCGAGGTGACACGCCTACAAATATCGCCACAGTGACATGGCGATCGTTGTACATACAAGATCTCTCGTAAAAAGTAAAGTTGTAGCGATACAACTCGTAAAAATTGGAGTGAAAACAAAAATTTTAAAACCAGTGAGATAACATTCCACCGGATATTTGCATTTTTAGTTACTATTTCAATTATTATTCAATGTTTTCTTTTTGTCTCCATAGAAATTTCTAGACTCAAATATAGTGATGTTCATTTATGAAGACTGATGTTTATCGACAATAAATTTTTACTGAAATGTTTGAATTTCTTACTATGATTTTTGTAATTAAAGTCCCTAAAATATCGAAGCGAAAAGCATTCACGTTAAATTGGTTTCTTTTATTTTATTATTATTACTAAACATTTTATTTCGAGTAACTTTAACACAACTCATATTTCGGACAACTGTTTCAATTTCATGTCAATTTGGATGTTACTGTTGCTTGAAGAAAAATTTATGTGTTTTAGATATTTAACACGTTTAAATTCCATTATGCTCGTAGATTAATCCTAGAGTATTTTTCATTTTTAAGTTTTTCCAATGAGTTTGAAATAAAAGAAGTTTGGATTGAAGCTGCAAGAAAATCTAAAGATTGGTTTTCTTATTACTATTTCTGACTTTGTTTCAATTTACATAGCAAATGGATTAAAAAAATAAATAAAATAAAATCGGCTTTATTTTACATGTGCCTGCAAAATAAATTAGAAACAATTATAGAAAATTACATAAATCCTTCATAAAAAACAACATAATTTAATTTATTAAATTCGTTGATGGTTCGAGTTTACTCTTGACAGTGACAGCTTCAGCAACCCGCGGTAACGTATAATGGGTGACTTTTGATCGGGTTTGGCACCGTGGTCTCCTTTCCAAGCTTCCGGCATATGGTCTTCCCGGCCGCCTTTGTGAGTGGATCTCCGGCTTTCTGCGCGAGCGAAGATTGCGTGTCCTTGATGACGGAGGCACTTCGCGGCTCGTGACAGTTAATGCTGGGGTGCCACAGGGCTCCGTGCTGTCGCCCACGCTGTTCCTTCTGCATATCAATGACTTGTTGCCTTTTGGCAACATTCATTGCTATGCAGATGATAGCACAGTGCACGGTTGCTATTATAAGCAATCGTCAAGCAGCCGGGAGGACCCTGAGAGAAACCGGGAAAAACTTGTCGCTGAACTCAACCATGTTTTGGAACATATATCGTCGTGGCGCTCCCGAAACTTGGTTGAGTTCAACGCCAAGAAAACCCAGGTACGCGCGTTCAGCTCCAAAAAATCCCCATTCCTTCCACTTCCCCATCTTCAGGGTACAACGCTGACGCTGCAGAACAAGCTCAGCCTACTGGGGATGAGCATCCGGAAGGACATGAGCAACAAAGAGTATATTGAGAGCGTCATCTGTACCGCGTCGCGCAAGCTTGGCATCCTGAACAAGGTGCACCGATTTTTTACTCCAGAGCTGCGATACCTGTTGTATAAAGCTCAAGTCCGAAGCAGCATGGAGTACTGTTCGCACGTTTGGGACGGCTCTGCCAAGTACTTGCTCGATGCCCTAGATGGACTGCAGCGCTACGCCTTCCGTGTTGTCAACGATCCTCATGTAACTGAGCATACCACGGCGAGTGCTCTGAAGAGTTATTCAACCTTATCCCTTCCTCTCCTTTCCATCA